TCGTGAGTCACTTAAGTGAATGGTCCTGAAACCCACTTTTGGACAACGACCCGCCAGTTTGGAACCACTGCTTCTAGCGGCTCGTAAAAACTAAAATTTCTAAAAGTTGGCCTTTTTATAAATTCTTTCGTATGTCATTAATACTTTTTATTTTGGTCATGTATACGTATGTAAGTATGTACATTTATGTGTGTGCTTGAGTTTTTATGTGTGTCTAAAGCCCCTTTTACCCTGCCAGATTTTCGGCAAATGTTGGGCCGTTTGGCTGGCAAGCTGCGAGAGTTTAGACACATAGAGCCGGATTGGCAAGTTGATCCGAGGTGACCAATTTTCCGCCTGGTAGGGTAGACATATTGGCGGAACCAAGCTGATAGCAGGAATGAGCAGCTAGTAGCAAGAGGGAAACGCAAACCTGAAAGACTGGGGAGACAAGGAATTGCGCGCCTTCCTTGCCCTCACAAACGAAGAGGCCATTAACCGTCAAATGACAGGAACGGTGAAGAACGGGCCAACTTAAGAGAGAATCGCAGAAGGACTGACCAGCCGTGGCTTCCCTCGGAGTACGTCATTGTTTATGTCACACGCTGAGCTACACGTTTTGTTACTTGCTCAAGCCCCCCATTGCCCCGAAAAAGGCGCATTCTATATAAACAAAAGTAGGAAGGCGGCATTTTGCTGCACTCCCCGATTTTGTTTTTGTTGCACAATTCCTATTTAAAAAGGGCTAAAATGTGAAGGGCTTTGTAAATGTAGGTTTTAAAAAGTGCTATTTCGATAAGTTATTGTTAAAGGAAAAATACAAACTAAATCCTGCTTAGGGCCCCCAAACTGTAGAGCCAGCCCTGAGAGAATTAAGTGTAATGGATGAGTGCTCTTTTCTGTCTGTTACAGCAGACTGCAGTTAAAAGCAGCGCCGTCACTGTTCGGCATCCTGCAGCAACCCCAACCACCTCTGGCCCGAGACATTACAAGATTATTCCTCCTAACATGTCCGGAACTTTTCTCGTAATACAAAATACTTTATAAGGTTAATAATCCACTACGTTCTAATTCAGGAATTCTTGCTTAACTTTGGGGCAACGTGTCTGATTCGTCCGTTGTGTCCTGGGATCTGCAAACGAACAGCTCATTTAGGATTAATAACTATATAATTAATTGCTAATTGGCTATTTAATATGATTTTGAAATGGCTAATTCGCTGCTGATAAGGCGCTCCACACTGCTTTAATGGCTTTATGTAGAGTTGGGAATGGTCGCACTGTTTGATATTGAGAATCTGTTGAGACTGGCTCGTGGAGGTCAGATATGCAAAAGTTTAATTACTGAGGAAGTGGAATATGGTGGGCATTAATCTGTGGGCGCTGTGAATATTTCCCATTGCAGTTAGAGGTGTGACAGTGCAGGTTATTTAGTGCATGGCGACGAAACATCAGTCTAGTTTCTGCTGTATCCATGATGTATTTGCAGCGCAAAGTGCTATGAAACATTTTTCATGTACAACAGGAGCAGGATGAATGGCTGCATTTGTAAAAAGTAGGATTTAAGGACATGCAGTTGCAGCAGATTTTAACTTCAGTAAAACTTTTACCGCTGAAAAACTAATTAAACAAAACCAGTACTATGATTTTAAAAAAAAAAGTGCATTTTTACTTCTACTTGAATGTCAGGCCATCTTGTACCTGTTCCTGCTCAATGTAGAAATAAAGTACATGTAGAGAACGGAGGAGGCTGCTGATATTGCTGCACATGGAAACATGGGGCTACAGTAATGAAAGTGGACTCCAATGTAAACCCTATATATATAAATCTATGTATTTATAGGTGCAGTATACACTTGGATCTCTGAATCACATCCAACCAAAGCTTATCTCAGCTGTAGCAACAGCCCATAAATCACCTCAACAACTAATGGAGGAAGTCTGCAGCGCTGCACCGAGACAGACTTAAGGATAAAAAAGAGAGGGTGTACAATATTACCTATTAATCCCTGGGAGGCTGTAATCACTTTCTATTTTAGGATGAGCTGTATTCTTAGATACTTCTGTGTAATTACATTTTTGATGAGGAACATTCCAGTTTAAAGGCCAGGTGAAATGGCTTATTGAATTTGTGCCGCAGCGGACAGTCTTGTGTCGTAACCTCTGCTTCTTTGTGGATAAATGCAGCACTTGTTGGTGAGATAATTGCTTGATGTCTACCTTTTTACTTATTAATAGAGGTTTTAATATTGAGTAAGGTGAGCAAATAGACACAGCAGCTTCATATTTGTTTGTAATCAACGATTCATATTGTAATTTTTCGACCGGTGTCAGTCTGGCTCTCGTGGATTTCCTCTAAGCTGTCTCCAGGTCACAGAGCAGCATCACCGAGAGCATCAAAGCTGCCTTTCAGTTCAACTCGAGAGCCGTCTCTTGAATTGTGGAGCTTTAACAAGGCATGAGTTGATCTCTTTAAAATCCCTGCCTGTTATCCTTTACATCACATCACAATCCCAGCTGTATTATGTAGCTGTCTCTCCTGTGTCAGACCTACAGTATGAGTTAGAAAACAGCACATAAGGTGTGACAAGAGCAGGTTAAAGCTGATTTTGAAGTCAGCTTTAAGCAGTTTTAAAATGATCAAATATTAAAAGCCTAGTTGTTGCTACACTGAAAAAGATCCACAGATAGAAGGGGCAGACATATCAAAGGATCAGAGAGACAGAGATAGGGAGATTTCTTAAGAATATGTTGTGGTTTTATTGTTTGGGGGGTTTATTTATGCTTATCTGTGCACCAAATTTACAATTGTTTTCTCTTCAAGGTCTTTAAAGCTGGGGGAGGCAGGTTTATTTTGGCATCATTGGGCATAAATCCCATAAAAGACTTTGAGCATATTGTAATTCATGTTATCTGAGAGACAACCAGACTTCTGCACCTCCTCTTGGCTCTGTTTTCAGGATTTAGAAAATCTAATCCGTGACGAGACACTTTGGCCAATCGCACATAATTTCAGAGAGAGACCATTCCTATTGGCTATTCTATAAGAGAATATATAGAGAATCCTGCAGAGAATGTTGGTATTCCATCATTGGCAACAGCTGCAAACACTGCAAAGCAACCCAAAACAGGAAGATGGAAAAAGAGAGTCTCAGGGTGCTTTCACACCTGCCCTGTTTGGTTCGGCTCAATCAAACTCAGGTTTGTTTGCCCCCCAAGTCTGACCTTCTTGAAAAGGTGGTCTAGGTCCGGTTACAAACAAACTCTGGTGCGGTTCGTTTGTGGTGAGAAAGTGTTCCGACCTGGATCTGAACCAACTGCAGTCACATGACACATTGTTTGGGTTAAACATGAGCATGTTACAGTCCTGGAGGATTATTAATGTGCACCTCCTCCTGTACTGCCTTAATATGCACATTCAGCACATCCAATGCATCAAAACATTGTTTTCTAGTTGGAGCCGCGCCTCGTTTTCAAACTGTATGGTTTGACTAAAATGAACAATGACAGCAATATAGTCCACGATGAGCAGCGCTAAAATCAACCTGCGTAGTTGTCCCTCCATTGTGACATTAGAAAGTGTCACATTTATCTTGCAAGTGTACTCTTCTTCAACGTTTGGTTTACTTCCTGGATTTTTCCCACATGGAAATTCTGACCAATCAAGAGCAGCTTTCTCACACAAGGCATTTGATCTGGTCTGCTTGTAAATGCTGCCGTGAGAACACGAACCAGCACTAAGCAATTATGCAACTTTGTGACAAAATTAGTCCCTGATTCTGACCAAAGCAAGACAACTCTAGGTCTGAAAGCACCCTAAAAGAGAGTCTGAAAATAACCAAATTAAAATGTGTATCAATGTCGGTGAAGCATTTCAGAGATGGAAACAAAAAATGTTGCTAATCGTTTTGCCTTCTGCTAACCAGAGCCAAAGGCTCACAGCTGCAGCTTCAAGGTTACATTTATGTAGCTAATGTTAGCTAGAGCCTCGAATCACACCTTCAGTCAGCAGCTGTAGCAACTTGAATTCAACCAATGTAAACCAGTGTCAGAGATCTCATCCTGGATATCCCAGACTTCTCATTGAATCAGCAAACTTTCTGTTGCTGCTGTTACACAGGTTACACCCACTTGCACTGGCAGAATTTGAGCCACTACAAGGTTTTGTATTTATAGCTGCTGCCCGCTCTCCACCCAGCAAAATAGTCTATAGTGGCGGCGAGTGAGGCAGAGGGACTGTAATGTGTGTGGCTAGCTAATTCTTGTCTCATTTGTGGTCTGATAAACAGAGAGCATGCTCTACATTGAAATAAGATAACACTGGGTTACTGTATAAAGCATGTGCATATGGCCATGGTCGTCTGGTGGGAGGGGCTAAGGACAGAGAGGAGAGAGCGTTTTCTGAAAGCTGCCTACCTCTGCTTTAGGTAACATCAATTCAACCAACCATTTTTGTGTATGACGCTCCAGGTGTCGCATACACAAAATACAGTTTTAGTTACAAAATGCTGGTGTTGCGCATAAAATATTGTACACATCAGCATTTTACGTGTTCATGCACTATATGCATTTTTTACTTTCAAAATAAAAGGAGTGACAATAATTTTAACTACCATATCCTTACCTAATTAATTTGGAGCACTTTGAAGGTATTACCTGCGTTAAAACACTTTTTGTGACACAACCTGGCAAGCATTTTGTGCATGAGGTGCATTTTTTTAATGTACTGTAAGTCTCCGCCAGCATTTAATGCACGAAATGCACCTTTGTGACAGCTGGTGAGCGGTTTCTGTGTGAAAGTGCATTTTGTGCGCAGTGGGAAGTGATTTATGCACTGCGGTGAGAGAAACTTCATTACATTAGCTGCAACTTCGTGATGGGACATTCAAAAGAAGGTTTATTTTACACTTCAGGAAATACAATTGTCAAGAAATGTACAAGATCTGAAATGAAACGCCGGATGATAAAAGATAATGTCCTGGTCTGAAAGCAGGAGGAATAGAAGAAAACATGAACAGCTTCTCGGGACTGCAATCATGTTTATTTCTCCATTTTTGGCATCTAGGTTAGAATGCACATCAAATGCTATTCTACAGGCAAATGACCTGCATGCAACTGTAGTAAATGAATGAAATATGTACAGATATAATGCTTGTTATTTATGAAGTATGAAAAAATACAATGTTATCCAGAAAATGGTATTTAAATATTATTAGAAAAAATTAAGACATGTCATTGTGGCTGTTCTTACAAATGAATACATGTGTTTCCCTTCTTATTAACACTCTGCCCACAGCAGTCAGATAATATATATTTGTGATGAGATAATATATTAACACTGTTTGCAATGGAAAAATGTTGATTTATGTAAAGCAGAGTTTCCTATAACAGGTGAACAGGTGAAGGTGGTGTCTAATTGCACATGCCAATATCAAAAATACACTGCGTATTTAAAGTCATGAAGACCAGCCTCCCAGAGATGGTTGTGTGTTTTGTATTGCAATAACATACCAAGCACCTGGCAAAGACATCAATGTTAACTGCACCATGGGTTAACATTATAGTTTATGTACTATCAACCTGTAGGAGTAGGTTTAGCTACTGTACTTTGTGGTGTGTGTAAGTGTGTGTAGGGTCGTGTGAATGGGTGTGTACCTGTAGTTTTTTGTTTTCCTACAAATACCGTGTGCATGCACGTGTGTCCTTTGCAAAGACAGCCTCAGCCGACCTTATTCACTGATGACGACCCACAGAAACTATACATTTTATCAGCTTTTTTCCTCATCAGTGAGAAAGGTGGAAAATTTGTTGATGGTAGAAGAGCCAGAGGAGTTTATCTTCAGCTTGCTTCTTCTCAGACTTCTATGATGTTGATGGACGGCACAGAAGGATGAAACTGCAACAGAAAAGATAAATAAAATCATGATTACTCTATTTTACTTTCTCCTCTAAAGACATACTTTGATCACAGAAGACAAATACATTGTCAGTATTACAGTAACCAGTACTGGACCTGGCAGAGAAAATTGGAGCCATGAACACAGGTAGCACCAGTGACAGCTGTGGCGGGAGATATTATGTTTTTAAGTTGTTCGTAAATCCATCTGTCTGTCTATCCGTACATCCGTTCCATTCTCTTGTATGCAAAACCCCAAGAATGCCTTGAGAGAATTTCTTTAAATTTGGCACAAATGTCCACCTGGACTCAACAATAAACTGATAAGATTTTGGTGGTCAAAGGTCAAGGCCACCGTGACCTCATCTGTCTCATTCTTGTGAGGGCTATATCTCAAGAACATCTTTAGGGGAATTTTTTCTTAAATTTGGCACAAACGTTCACTGGGACACAACAATGAACTAATTAGATTTAAGTGGTCAAAGGTCATGATCAATGTGTCCTTGCATCCATCTCATTCTCGTGTATGTAACACCTTGGGGGAATTTCTTCAAATTTGGCACAAACAATGGTCTCAATGATGAACTAATTATACTTCGGTAGTCGAAGGTCAGAGGTCAAGGTCACTGTGACCTCAAAAAAAAACATGTTTTTGGCTGTAACTCAACAATTCTCACACTAATTATGACAAAATTTCACGCAAATGTCTCATAGGATATCATGATGAAGTGATGACATTTTATATCCAAAAGGTCAAAGGTCAACTTCACTGAGACGACATAATGTTCTGCAAAAACACTTTTGTGGCCATTATTCAGTGTCATATCTCGGGAACAGAAGGGGAGACACTTGGTCAGATACTGAATAGGTGACACCAATCTTGGGTGCCCACCTTGAAACTGTGCTGATTGTATAGATCTTTTGTGCTGCCGAAGGAAAGACGTGTGTGAAGCATTCATGTTTTCACAGACGTGAGGCATACATTCACAAGGTGGGAATTTTAGTTTTAAATCTCTTTTTTACAACTGTTTTTTTTGTATAATCTCTATCATAAAATATCTGAATACTAATGTGAAATCTGTAGGCAGTGCTACAAGATTTTGGTATCGTAAGCAATATTGTTTTTGTTTGTAGTTTGAGCAGTAATGATCAGTCATGTTTCAGTGGGTGTTGATTGCCTGCAGGTAAACAGTTCATATTAAGAGCAAAAGAGGTGGAACGCATTGGCCGAAATACAATTGGGGAACGAGTCGGTTGTCTTCTGACAGTGATTTAGCTTTTTAGAAGTTTTTCCTACTTTATCTGCATTTATATGCAGATAGCTGATATGTTGTCTGGACCTGTCTGAAGGTGCTACTCGACTTGTAAATAATGACCACGGTATGGATGAGAAAGTCTTGGCCTGGATATCCACTGGCTAGCCAGATATCCCGAAATAGTGGCCCTCGCCCCCACAGGGTTTACTGTTGTCAGATGACGGCCGATGGGTTCCAAGTGAGGAACATTTAAAATAAAAACTTTATTTAGAGAAATGCCAGAAATACCTTAATGTAAATATATATATATATACATATATACATACATATATACAGTACAGGCCAAAAGTTTGGACACACCTTCTCATTCAATGCGTTTTCTTTATTTTCATGACTATTTACATTGTAGATTCTCACTGAAGGCATCAAAACTATGAATGAACACGTGGAGTTATGTACTTAATAAAAAAAGGTGAAATAACTGAAAACATGTTTTATATTCTAGTTTCTTCAAAATAGCCACCCTTTGCTCTGATTACTGCTTTGCACACTTTTGGCATTCTCTCCATGAGCTTCAAGAGGTAGTCACCTGAAATGGTTTCCACTTCACAGGTGTGCCTTATCAGGGTTAATTAGTGGAATTTCTTGCTTTATCAATGGGGTTGGGACCATCAGTTGTGTTGTGCAGAAGTCAGGTTAATACACAGCCGACAGCCCTATTGGACAACTGTTAAAATTCATATTATGGCAAGAACCAATCAGCTAACTAAAGAAAAACGAGTGGCCATCATTACTTTAAGAAATGAAGGTCAGTCAGTCCGGAAAATTGCAAAAACTTTAAATGTGTCCCCACGTGGAGTCGCAAAAACCATCAAGCGCTACAACGAAACTGGCACACATGAGGACCGACCCAGGAAAGGAAGACCAAGAGTCACCTCTGCTTCTGAGGATAAGTTCATCCGAGTCACCAGCCTCAGAAATCGCAAGTTAACAGCAGCTCAGATCAGAGACCAGATGAATGCCACACAGAGTTCTAGCAGCAGACCCATCTCTAGAACAACTGTTAAGAGGAGACTGCGCAAATCAGGCCTTCATGGTCAAATAGCTGCTAGGAAACCACTGCTAAGGAGAGGCAACAAGCAGAAGAGATTTGTTTGGGCCAAGAAACACAAGGAATGGACATTAGACCAGTGGAAATCTGTGCTTTGGTCTGATGAGTCCAAATTTGAGATCTTTGGTTCCAACCGCCGTGTCTTTGTGAGACGCAGAAAAGGTGAACGGATGGATTCCACATGCCTGGTTCCCACTGTGAAGCATGGAGGAGGAGGTGTGATGGTGTGGGGGTGTTTTGCTGGTGACACTGTTGGGGATTTATTCAAAATTGAAGGCACACTGAACCAGCATGGCTACCACAGCATCCTGCAGCGACATGCCATCCCATCCGGTTTGCGTTTAGTTGGACGATCATTTATTTTTCAACAGGACAATGACCCCAAACACACCTCCAGGCTGTGTAAGGGCTATTTGACCAAGAAGGAGAGTGATGGAGTGCTGCGGCAGATGACCTGGCCTCCACAGTCACCGGACCTGAACCCAATCGAGATGGTTTGGGGTGAGCTGGACCGCAGAGTGAAGGCAAAGGGGCCAACAAGTGCTAAACACCTCTGGGAACTCCATCAAGACTGTTGGAAAACCATTTCAGGTGACTACCTCTTGAAGCTCATGGAGAGAATGCCAAGAGTGTGCAAAGCAGTAATCAGAGCAAAGGGTGGCTATTTTGAAGAAACTAGAATATAAAACATGTTTTCAGTTATTTCACCTTTTTTTGTTAAGTACATAACTCCACGTGTTCATTCATAGTTTTGATGCCTTCAGTGAGAATCTACAATGTAAATAGTCATGAAAATAAAGAAAACGTATTGAATGAGAAGGTGTGTCCAAACTTTTGGCCTGTACTGTATATATATATATATAAATATATATATATATATCTTAACAACATCAGTTTTTCAGGCATTCAAGATCAATACTTCAACCTTTAATTCTATGTTTTCATGAAGATGTTTTTATTCAGAAATTGGCCCTGATCAGTCTCAACACATCCACTCTCTTGCGTAAGCCATCGGTGAGACAAAACACCTTCAGGACTTTTGCTAAAAACATTTACACTATTGACTGACACTAGAGAGAGTTTTTGAAGTCCTCATACAAACTTCTCTGACAGAAACCTTACATCAACATCTGACCACCTAATGAGGACTGGAAGGAGAGATAAACCAACACAATGAGGAATCCTACAACGATTGTCCCTCGGCTAATTTAAACAAGAGAACTCAATATGTTTCTACATTAAATCCCAGCCAGAGGTCGACACTCACAATGCAAATTACCTCGATTATCGATTGGTCATGGCCTCATTACTGAGCTGTGACTGAATATATCTGTTCACACACCCAAAGCTTCACCTGTGACTTGACTTTATATTTTTTAAGATATGGACTTTAATTTACATTTGACCATCCCAGGGTTTCAACCCTAAACTTATTGTGTTTTATTACAACACATTCAACATATGTTTTACCTAACAGTCGTGCTGCTTGTATATTATTTGGATGTAGAGACTGTGGAGGAGGAATGGGTCCTTGGAGATTCCTGTCATTATATCTGTAGCAAAGATCTAATTTCTATCAGGTGCTTCTTTGAATGAAAGATTTATTTTTTCCCAGAGGAATATTATTTGGTGGTCAAGGTTACATTTTAGACATCAGATTTGCCACAATATTTTCAAGAATTCCTCTATGAAAAAGAAGAAATGAATTGGCATACAGTAGTACAGCAGTCTATGCACAGTAAAGGTGAATTCAAACATTTAACCTAGGTAGGGTGAAGTAATGTTTACTGTACTTGGTATGTGCCAAAAAATGAGTAAGCTTTTACATATAGCATGATCTACAACACATTTATATGAGTGAAGTATAGTTGCAGAGGTTAGGTTTTGGAAAAGAATCATGGTTGGGTTTCATCACATTACGCTCTTATCTTAAAGTTACATAGGTTAGGTTTAGAAATATTTAGTTACTTAGGTTAGCTTTAAAAATGTTAAGTTATGTAGGTTAGGTTAAGAAAAACAATCATGGTTGGGCATTGTCATGTTATGTACTTAATGTTAAGTTACTTGGGTTAGGTTTAGGATTTTTAAGTTACCCAGGTAAGGTTTATAAAAAGAATCATGGTTGGGTGTTGTCATGTTACTGCTTCACGTAAAGTTATGTAAGTTAAGTTAAAAAGGTAAAGTTACACCAATGAAGTAAAGTTACTAAGGTTAGGCGTAGGATTTTAAGTTACGTAGGTAAGATTTAGGAAAGAATTATGGTTGAGTGTCCTCATGTTAATACTTAACGTAAAGTTATGTAGGTTAGGTTTAGGAAAGTAAAGTTACGTAGGTTTCATTCAGAAATGTTAAATAATGTAGGTTAGGTTTGGGCACTACCATTTTATGTATTTAACATAAAGATATGTAGGTTAGGTTTAGGAAAATAAAGTTATGTGCTTTGGTTTAGGAAAACAATCATGGCTTTCTTTTGTCACATCACTTAATTAAAAGCTGCGCAGCATAGGTTTAGAAAAGTAAAGTTACTAAGGTTAGGTTTACGATTTTAAGTTACGTAGGTAAGGTATGAGAAAAGAATCATGGTTAGTTGTTGTCATGTTACTGCTTAATTAAAGTTACATAGGTTAAGTTAAGGAAAGTAAAGTTACGTAGGTTTGATTCAGAAATGCTAAGTTACGAAGGATTGGTTTAGGAAAAGAATCATAGTTGGACACTGCTATGTTACGGACTGAACGTAAAGTTACATAGGCTAGGTTTAGGAAAGTAAAGTTATGTAGGTTTGATTCAGAAATGCTAAGTTACGTAGGATTGGTTTATGAAAAGAATTATAGTTGGACATTGCCATGTTACGTACTTAACGTAAAGTTACATAGGCTAGGTTTAGGAAAGTAAAGTTATTTAGATTATGTTTAGAAAAAGAACCATGGTTGGTTAACATCAAGTTGTGTTGTTTAAGTTCTGAAAAGTGAAGTGACTTAGGTTTGAAAATGTTAAGTTCTGTCAAAAATTCTGGAACATGTTGTCGCCTCCCAAATCAAGACCCACCTCCGCTCTCATGAACTATATGAACCATTTCAATCCATTTCATCCGGATTCCGCCCTCAACACAGCACCGAAACCACTCTCCTCAAAATCACTAACGACCTCCTCCTCTCTGCCGACTCTGGCCACCTCAGCATACTCATCCTCCTTGACCTCACTGCTGCCTTTGACACCATCAACCACACCACTCTGCTATCCCGCCTACAAACTTCCCTCAACATCACTGGCTCTGCTCTCTCCTGACACAAATCATACCTCACCGACAGACATCAGTTCATCCAGGTCAACAACTGCACCTCCTCCACCGTCCCCCTGCTTCAAGGTGTCCCTCAGGGCTCAGTGCTTGGTCCTATCCTCTTCATCATCTACTTACTCCCCCTTGGTTCTATCATTCGTCGTCATGGTCTCCATTTCCACTGCTACGCTGACGACATCCAAATCTACATCTCCACAAAATCCATCACCCTGGCCACCCGCTCAACCCTCACCAACTGTCTGACTGAACTACAATCATGGCTGCAAACCAACTTCCTCAAACTGAACTGTGACAAATCTGAAATAATAGTCATCAACCCAAAATCCCTCTCTACATCAACACAAAACTTCACCCTCAGCATCGACAACACCACCCTCTCTCCCTCCCCATTCATCCACAACCTTGGTATCACCTTCGACAATAACCTCACATTTGACCATCACATCAGCCGCCTCACCCAAACTGCCTTCTTTCACCTCAGAAATATTGCCCGTCTCAGTCCATTATTCTCCTTCTCTGCCGCTGAAACTCTCATCCATGCTTTCATCACCTCAAGACTTGACTACTGCAACAGCATCCTCTACGGCTCATCATCCAAAGTCCTCAACAAACTCCAGTACATCCAGAACTCTGCTGCCTGCCTCCTCACCCACACCCGCTCCTGTGAACATATAATCCCTATCCTGCAAAACCTACACTGGCTCCCTGTCCCGTACAGAATCAACTTTAAGATCTTCCTCCTCACCCACAAAGCCCTCCACTGCCGGGCCCCCTCCTACCTCACGGACATGCATCCTGCAACCTTCGATCATCCGACAAAAACCTCCTCTCACCTCCACACAGGACCAAGCAACAAACCTGGAGCGACAGAGCCTTCTACATAGCCGCCCCCTCCCTCTGGAACACCCTCCCTATACACATCCGTGACTGTCCAAATCCATCCACCTTCAAATCACTCCTCAAAACCCACCTTTTCAAATCCGCTTTTAACCTTTAAACATTAGCTTTTCGTTCTCTGTTTCTCATGTACCCCCCCTTTTTTTGTATGTACTTCTTTTCTTTGTTTTAAATGTAAAGCGTCTTTGAGAGCTGTAAAAGCGCTATATAAATAAAATGTATTATTATTATTATTATTATTATTATTGTTATTATAAGTTACATACATGTAGGTTAGGTTTAGAAAAACAATCATGGTTAGGTGTTATCATGTTACATACTTAAAGTAAAGTTATGCAGGGTAGGTTTAGGAAGCTAAACTTACATTAAGTTTAGGAGTTTAAGTTATGGAGGTAAGATTTAGGAATAGAATGATAGCTAGACATCATCACATTACATAATTAACGTAAAATTACATAGGTTCTGTTTAGATTAAAAAACGTGGTGATGATGTACTTTAAAATAACTCAAAGCTCACGTGGTTTCATACAGGATACAAACACCTGTCTCCTGGGGGAAAGTCCTGTTTGTTTTACCATTCAACACCCTGTCCCCAACTGATGTTTGCTCATTCTGCTACTTCTGTTTTTACTCCCGTCAGCGCATTTGTCTTGTGAATTCAGGTGCAATACTTTTTGTAGGTATACAAACAGTGCATGAGAATAGTCTGGACCATTTATTGTCCTTGGTTTGAATTAAGATTTTTATAACTTCACACTAAACTTTTTTTCTAATGGAACATACATAAGCATTCTCCACATGTCCCCACATGCAAATTGCATTCGCTAATCAAATAAATGTCAGTCTGTGCCTCGCATTTTAATCATGGGAACAGCTGCCTGCTGTTATATGAGAATGTGTGGGAGAGTGAAGCACAGGAGAGACAGTTTTAGTTGGCCAACAGTATATGTGGACCTGCTACCCACACCATCACCAGGCAGTATTTTTAATTTACTGATTAAGCATCATGTCCCAATAAATCCATCATAATCATTTTGGGGCTTTTTGGTTTCCAGCCTGTGCAGCAGAGCCAGATGCACCTGTATCCTACAAAACTACAGTAATCATGTTAATATCCACCATAATCATGTCTGCCAAAGTGCCAAGTGCCAAAGAGGTGTGCACTTCATGGCAGTGTGAGCTGGCTGAGCACACGGCAGATTAGATTACATTAATGTTATTATTCACTGGAGGAAATCGTTTCTGCAGGATGCTTCTTCACAAACAGCAAAACACAGCACAAAAAGAAGTCATTTTGACATGTCTCAGCAGGAGAAGCACAGGTTTGAATAATGAGATTAATGTTGGCTGAATTCCATTTAGCTGCTTCAGATTCAGGGTCGTGGGGAGAGACGCTGTTAGTGTGCACACACAGGTGCTTGAAAAAGCCTTTATGTGCACTTGTATTCAGAGGTGTCACGCTCACCTTGCTCCTCAGCAGCCCTCCACTGTGGTGCTCCGGCGTGCTCCTTTCCGATGACGGCTTGGCCTTCTCCTTATTGTTGCTGGAGTCGTTGTCCTTGATGATGTCATACTGCCGGCAGAACAGGGCAATAACAGCTGCCAGGAGGTGAGAGATGGGCACATGTGCAACACACACACACACAAATGAGGACAGGAATTTAGTTGCGAGGCGGCAACTGTCACTCACAGACATGTCACCACTTCCTCTAACCAAGCACGTTGAAAGGCCATGTGGATAATGGAATTCTGCTCCCATGGGAGGGTGATGGCTGTGCCTTTATCTGAAGGCTTGGAAGACAGTAATTCTCCATGGAGTTGGCTTTGCTACAATATGCAGTCTGCCAGATGCAGTTCTGCCTCCAGTTTGGATAAGTACTGAATGCTCACAATTAACTTCCTTGCTTCACTGAGGTTATGAATTTCTATGAGAATGCTATCATTAAAAATTCAGAAACTGATATGGAGTGCTGGTAATGACAGCTGAGAAATAGAAGCGTGATTCATTTAATTAAGAAATTACTATTATTCATGCATCACGTAACCGCTCTGTAATATTGCAGCTACATATCACTGTCTGTTTGTAGCTGAGAGACATTCATGGTTGGCGTTTCTATATTTACACTGGTTTGCTTCGTAGTTGAATTACAGCAACGTTTATGTGTTTGAGAAGTGATTTGTCTGCATTTGAATGGTTTACATTACAATTTATTATAATGTTGTTTTAATGGGACATTTTCCACAGCAAAAATCTTTAAAGCCTTCACTCATCTTATGCGCTTTTTCAACTAACAGGCCCTCGTTAAGCAGCAACATTATTCAGTAAAGCAGATGAGACTGCAACTTTTCAGACTTATAATAAGCAGCAGAAGCTATAAAGATAAAAGATAAAAGAAAATCAAATAAATAAATACAGAAGTACACAACTATCTTTTGCAGACTGAATGTTTGAAGGTGTTATATGCCTCATAAAATTCAGAGAATAATGTGACTTTAAACAGGGACTGGATGCAAATGAGCAGTCAATTACGAATGCGCCACATGTGGTGTTTTTATTCTTTCACTCCCACTCGTCACAGCCTCCGTGTTACTTTGGTTTCTCTCATTAGTATTATTTAACATCTCACTCTGGTGCTCGGGGGTGGGAAAACCCCGCTCCTGGCAGCCTGTCAGATATGCCACTTCTCATTGTGCCTCAATACTTCATTAATCAGCACACTTCCTCAAAGGAGTAGAAACTCATACATGGATGGAGAGGCTTAGATACAGAGAGTGCTCAGAGACGCCTGATGTTGGTTTGACATTGTTGAAGCCAAAAAAGCCTAAAAAGAGACGGGACATTCAGACATGGCAGATTAATTTTTTCAATCAGGTTTTTGGACTTTAACAGGACACCTATTGATTAGTGTGTCAATGTACTGATGTATTCTGCAGTGTGAATCCTCTGTCAGCTATGTGTCATTAGTCTGTATCACTGAGGCTGACAATAAATAACAAGTTTCAATTCCACTGGAAAAATCAAATTATCTTTTAGCTTATTTGGCAATATTTTAATGTCATTTCACCACTGACAACAGCTGATCAATAATATCTTGTGCTTTGCTTTGGATTTATAGTTATTAGACAATATTGAATCTTCATTCAGGCTTTTACAGTAATTACTCTCAACGATAGGAGACACACTGAGATATGTGTTACTGTGACAGCACAAACAACTAAAAGCTTATTATAGAGACAGTATATTATATCACTTGTAATAAATGAAAGCAGTGATTTATTAAATCAAGTGGTGCCATTAATACTTAAAGGGATCCTTCACTATCCAAATGACCATTTACATATCAGTTATTCATTCTGTGTTACATTAAATTTGTGAATAAACCTTTGTTTTTCTTGCATGCCTCCATGTTGAACAAAGAATCCAAAAACTAAGAAAATTCGTGAATGAAAGTACAGCAACGACGACGACGACGGCGACTACAGGAAAAACCTTAGCAATGTGTAAAACGGTAGCAAGGAAACATCTAGTAGCGCCGCCCAGTCAAACGCTAATAAGCTGTTACTTCCTAAATTTACATTTTAGGGGGCAAATTATATATTTAACTTATCCACCAAACATTTGTAGATGTCGGTATGACTTTGTTTCAATTGTGTATGCATCCATAAGAAATACCACATCCCACGTTGCCTCAAATACTATTCAATCTTAACACATCATAAATGTTAGCAAAGTAACGTAAGTCCAGTCAGTTTGCTTGGGAAACGTATTCATATAGATAAAGGCCCAAAACATACATTTAATGTTCTTTATCATACTTAAAGTGTTTTTCCTCTTCATTCACTGTGATTCACTTGTCTCATTGTTATATTATATATAATATAATGTTGATTAAAAGGGGCACTCTGCATATATCCACCATTTTAGTTCATTTTTAGAAACTCTTGTATATATCTTACTCCTATTGTTACTCTATTAGGAACTGGTTTTTGCTTTTGCTCCTTAAACACTTTATATCTTGTGTATTTTTAATATTTTTGACTGATATTCAGTACTCTATTGTTTTAAAAAACTGGACCCAGTGTGTGACCCTGAACCGAGGAACCCTCTGGTTGTTCTGGTTGTTACAACAAAATTCCATTGAATTGAATTGAATTGAATTTCTATTAAAACTGAATCATTACTAATCACATGAAGTCTACAAACCTACCTGCCCACATGACCAAGACCACCACAATTATGATCATCTCTCCTGTTTGTAGATGCCGGGACTTGTCCAGGCCCTGCACAGTGGGGTCATCTGGGAGAGGGCACAGACAGGACAGGTACAGTCAATACATAGTCCATAACATTGAGTACTCATTATTCAGTCCTTCCTTTTATTTATATAGAAGGGACAACAGAAACACATCAGGCATTAAAATGCAGTAGGATAAAATCACAAACAATGGCTTCAAACACTTCTTTAGAATTCAGATATCAGCTTCACTCAGTGTAAGTAAAAACTGAACATTAATCTTCACAAAGGTAGCATTAGTTGCAGAGCCACTTAACTGATTTTCCTGATAATTTAAGACCTTAAAATCACATTCTGCCAATAAGGACTGGACAATAAGGACACTCCCTTCATCTCTCATGACTGTTACGCCATTTAACAAAAACCGTAGTAGTCAGAAAATGTGGTGGGCATTACCACGAATCAATCCAGTAGCATTAATCCTCCTTTAAGTGGATTGACTATGGGCCTATTTCCACTCTCCAAACTATCTCTTAAACCCGCATGGATGGAACTCTTCCAGAGCACCACTCTTCCCAATTGCCTCTTTTAGTGAATCAAGTTGTCAAGAAACTGGCCCAGAATGCCAGATTGTCAGCTCTCCTCGCATGATGGCTATTATGGAGGGGGGTCAATTATAGTGCCATGCTCATTTAAGTCTTGATACTAGTGTGCATGAGAATGTGACTGGAGAGAGGGTAGATGCATGTCAGAGTGGAAAGTGAAAAACAACCTCAAATCACAGAAAAGTGCCTGATATTTATATGTACTGGTGCAGTGCGTGTTCAAAACATGCCTGTTTGCAACAGACAATTGCCTAGCCTCTGGTATTGTTGCTTGCAGCTCTCTTGACAACTGGTCTTCCAAATAACTTTACACTAGACACTGTGTTTCCTGGGGATCTGAGCTATACATCTGCCAGGACAGAGGCAGTCTCTGGTTAGAGTATGTGCGTCATTTGGGTGCAAAAGCTCACACAAACATTTTATGGCCTCAATGAAGTCTAAGCCAGGCTATTTCCAATGTGTTTTCATCTCTACTCGTCATATTTGGAAGCTGGAAGCAGCCTTTTGCATTGTTTCTTGACGCAGAAGGGTAGGCGGTAAGTTTAGGCAGCAATACTACTTGGTTAGGGTTAGGTAAAGATTGTGATTAATGTTAGTCATGGCAGTTGATTCAGGAGACTAACCACTCATAACTTGACGCTGACTTCCAGTTTCACATGGGACACAAACACCGGTCTAGTGGGATCAAGTCCTATGCTTGTTGGACCCATACACTTCACCTCCCACTCGTCCAAGCAGACCTTTGCGCTCTTTATATACTACACTTGACCATCTAATAATGACATGGATGGGTTTACATTTGAGTTGCTTAAAAACCCAATGCACCATCGTTTTTATTGGACCCCCTACAGACTGTTTTTGCTTAAGATCAGGAACAACGCTGACTGTTTGAAGTGCTGCAGTTCTGAAGGGGCGCTTCTTCACCTACTCTGGGAGCGTCCCATGATTCAGAACTATTGGATAATGTTTCACGGACGAATAAAATCATTACCCAGACTAACTTGGAGTTCTGCCCGAGGCTGTATGTTCTCAGTGACCCACAAATCTCACATCTCACTGTGGAGCCTGGGAGTTTATTCAGACCAGTATAATGATGGGTAAGCAAATTATAATAAGACACTGGAGGAAACCAGGGGAGTCCTCTCTTAAGGAATGGTTCACAGAGTTGGCAAAAGTTGCATCATATGAACAAATCTCTTTCAGTTCTGAGGACAGGGTGGAGAAATATGTGGTGAAGTGGGGAGGCTACTTGGAGCACATGGTTGGTATGGACGTATCTTGAAGTGAATCGCACGCAATGTGCATGGTGCTCTGCTGCACGCTTTTTGAGTGTCTGAGAGCTAATCAGCTGCTCAAAGATCAGAGTGGATAGTGGTGCATATGTATGTGCGACATAAAGAACTTTTTTTTTAAAGAATCACTCGTTTATTTTACATTTTTATTTTATTATTTTATTTAGTTATTGTGTTTTTCTGACACTTCTTTATGCCTCTCTCACTCTTTATGTTAGAAAAAACGGAAAAAGTTCAATAAAATCTTAATGAAAAAAAAACAAAAACCCAGTGCATCTTTTAGAGACGCTAAAGGGCACCCCTGACGTCATTATAGTGATACAGGTGAAACTGCCCAAGCAGCTTATTTTTCCACCCTGGAAGAGAAGCCAGGCTGCTATTTCTAAGAACAAACGTTTTTATTCCAAAATTTTGTACAGTGTAACATCTCTGGTCTCTTTCTTCATCTGTTCTTGAATGTTCTGTAGTGAGTGATGGAAGATTGCCAATAGGGGTCCCCTCTCAATACACTACACAATGTGTACTTTTGGCGGTAGTAACGCACTCCTAAAAGGTATGTCCTGTCTATCTACACCTCAAGGAGAAAGTACACTCCTTCGAAGACAGCAATGTGCACATTTTGGACAGGGAAGACAGATGGTTTGAAAGAGGTGTAAAAGAAGCCATCTATGTGAAATTGGAAAAGCCATCTCTCAATAGAGGAGGAGGTCTGCGACACCACCTATGCCCCACCTATAATGCTGTCCTTTCATCCTTGCCCAGGAGGTTTAACAACTTAACCTCTAAAAACAACGGTCGTTCACAAATGGCCTCATGTGACTCTAACGACTCCAGTGACAACCGTTGCAGCAGGAGTTTCAACGACTGTCGTTGACACACCATTGGAGCACTTCCTTGGTTCCTCAGCAACACACCCACCAAGTGTGAAGGTGATCAGATGAACAAGTGTTGAGAAAATTGAGGAACAGACAGACGGACAGATTTAATTTACATGAATCATTTTGATTGTCAAAGGTTCGTCTTTGATTTCAGGTGTCTCGGTTCGGTGTCAGCAGTGATGTAGACATTCAGGGAGCTGAGCCAGAGGGCAGAGAAGATTGATTTTCCCAGTCCATCTACCCTCTAACCCTATGACCCATGGTCATGAGCTTTGGGTAGTGACCGAAAGAATGAGATTACAGATACAAGGAGCTGAAGTGAGCTTCCTCCATAGGGCGGCTGGGCTCAGCCTTAGAGATAGGGTGAGGAGCTCAGACATTTGGAGGGAGCTCGGAGTGGAGCTGCTGAAAGTCCAAGTTTATGGTGGATGGGTCCAACAGACACTGAATTTTCAGAGACTGTATGTAAACGGTAAATTTCCTGTGAAAATGGAAGTGTATTTTGAAAAAAGACAACGCATGTAACTGGCAGAACTTGACACGGCGTCCCAGAACGTCAACAACCAAGGGTACCTTGCACGTCGTATCTGGATGTGAAAAGTCCATGACCGAACGTCGATATGTGACGAGGTCGGAGTGAGAATGTGTTGCCAACTGACATCTACTGCATGCGATACGTCAACTATGAATAAGTACCTCATACAACCCCACTTCAAAAATCCAAACTATCCCTTTAATATTTTAATAACGTCACTTTATTGCTATTTAACTAATTTTTAACCTTATTCATTACAGCATTGATAGAAATGTTGTAAACTGTATTTCCTTGTATTTGTACAATGACAATAAAGATATTCTACCACTTCTCAACAAGTGCAAAGAGGAGAAACAATTACAGTGACCAGCTCTTTAATACAACACTCATGTAGGTTTAAGAAAGGCTTAAAAATCCCATCCAGTTCTTTGTTATGTCTTCTCACACTGAGCTCTGGAGTTGATGTCAGGCTGCACATTACACCTAAATGTCAGGTCAGGACTCAGGTCAGCGCTAAGTGCGGCTGGTGCTCCTGTGAGTTGCTCTCCAGTTTATTAATCCCACATCTCCTCCATCTGTCTAAAGACAACCTACTGAATAATAAACCAGCTCTTCTGTATACATGAAAACAGAGTTGTGTTTATGCATTGAGAAACTACTGGTAGAAATCTGTTTCAGTAATGAATTTAATTGGCTTCTGTATTCTGCACGACTTTCCAACTGAACTGCTCGCTCCAGTTTGCTGTTTTGATCTAATGACTCTACTTAATTTTAAAACATGCTTTGGTATGTGCAGACAGTAGCGTGCTGATATAGAGTACGTGCATATTTGATGCAATAGGTTTCATACCACGGAGTGAGTGAACAGTTTCCAGATGACCTGAATAACATGTCCTGCTACTGTATCATGCATATTTCATGTTGTAGCACCGCACTCAGATATGCTGTGTGATTCTCTGCTTCAGCAGAGAATGTGGTGCAGCCAAAGAGTTGTTGAGTGTTGAGATAATTAGTCGACCTCCCTTCTGCTCTTCCCAAATCCCAGGATGTTGTTTGTGGCTGTGAACTGTGTCGGCAAACTGTGTAACAACACACCAGGGGGGGGCTGTACTGTTGTCACAAAGATGCATCATGTGATTTATTCTTGCATAATGTCTCCTGGAGACTGAGCGATTGTGTTTTTTAGGTGTCATGAACTGAAAAACAAAAGTTGAATACAGTGCAGTATCAACCTATATGCATGTGCATATGAAATATTCTGAGTATCAGTTCAGGTCAAAAGAATATTTTGCAGGGAGCACACAATGTGTAGCGCACCGTTGTCTCAGTGCTGTTATTAGGAGAGCCTAGGTGTAGCTTCTTACTCAGCAAAGACAGCTTGACATCTCTTTGAAGTATTACACAGTAATTGTGTCTAAGGGGACCACCTACCTAGTTAGATTTGACTGCTCAAGGCGTCCATGCTTTGAAAATTCTGTTCTTTTTTTTTTCTCTCTCCTGTGCGAAACAGTTTGACAGTGCAGTGGCAGCAGGAAACATTTTACACAGCTTCATGTCTTTGTTCGGGAATGATTTATATACAGTCAGGTCCATAATTATTTGGACAATGATACAGTTGTCGTCATTTTGGCTCTGTACACCACCACAATGGGTTTTAAATGAAACAATGAATACCTGCTTAAAGTGCAGACTCTCAGCTTTCATTTAAGGCTTTTTTCAAAAATGTAGTATGAACCGTGTAGGAATGACAACC